GTGTGGAGGAGGAATAGGATATGCTGGAGGAGATAGGGGGTTGGAAGGTACTTATGGTTTTGGAGGCCACCTGGATGGATTTTTTTGGAGGGGGAGGGTGGTCTGGGTCTTGCATATTGGACAGAGTGGTGAGGGGAGGTGCATTATTGTGTACTGTGGGGTAGAGATGAGGGCTGGAGGTCTGTGGGAGGATGACAAAAGGGGAGGGTGTTCAGGAGTTAAAGGGGGATGAAATTGGCTCCGGTCAGAATGGGAGGTTGCTGAGGGGACCATGGGCAGCAGATTATTTTGTTGTGGGAATGGATTTATTGAATGGCTGAGTTTAGGTAATATCAAGAGACCAACATTTAACTCAGTAAGTTTTAGTGGGTAGGATGTAAGTACAGTGGGTGAGTCAAATGCAGGAGGAGTCAGGGAATTTTAGTAGCAGGGTTAATAACAGGGATATGAGGTAAGGGGATATGAGGAAAGGTGGATGTGACTTGGTATGTAATGGGGAGAGGGAATAGGTTTGTTTTGTGACAGGAATAAATTTATTTAGTGATTGGTTCTAATAGCAAAAATGATGGTACAGCAAGAAAGTGGGGAGGAGCTTGACTGTGGGAATGATTTTATTCAGTGACTCAGTATCACTGACGTGAGCTATTTTTCTCTGTATCTCACATGTATGTCAGCTGCTTTGCTGCATCCCTTTGTTCCAAGGATGATGATTGTGTGGAAGTCTGTTGATTTTATCTAGGATCTTATATTGGTTTAACTGATGTGTTTTACATTTCAAATGCACAGCCTTCAATATATATTTTGGTTTGCTTTTAAGTGCCAAGGATACTGTGATAAAACAAAATGTATTAATGATTAACAGTTCCCTCTATCCTAGTTTGCTAAATCATCCACAAAATATTTCAATAGGGCCAGCTAAGTGATCTCCGGTAATTCAGTGGGAAATGTATTAGATGAGAGTAAACTGTGTTCGTATAACAACATTGCCATTGCATTTTGTGTCTGTGCATTGAGTGTCATGTTAATTACAGCAGTGTGTTTCTCTAATGTGTTGGCCTCTGAGAACTGCACACACAAATAAATAAAACAAAGGCACTGTGGCCAAATTATTCAGGGCTGTCAACATGTAAAAATATATCAATGTATATTAATTGATAAGATTTCACTTAATTTTTGGAAATTTCCTCTTAGATTTGGCATGTCCAAGTAAACCTAATGTCTATTTCCACAACTTAAAATTAGTTTATCCGTGATCTGCAAATATTAATTCTTCCATACTTCATTTTTTTCCCTTTTTCTGTTCACTTTTAATACTGACCTACTGTATTGGAGATGTGAATCTGTAAGATAAGAGCAGCAAGAGGAGGTTCAGTGTAAACATTTTAGGTCCCAATCTTGAAATGAACTCCACAGGGGCACATTCCGATTTAAGTTAGTGGGGCATCATGCAGATGCCTGCAAGGGCTGTCCACAGATATCTCACTGCAGGATCAGAGCATAAAGGGTTAGTGACATCAATGCAGTTACTCAGGTTGGCAAGTGCTGTGTGGTAGCAAGAAATGTTTTCATTACTGGGCCCCATGAACAAAACATGTAACCAGTCAGCTTCATGAAGGCTCAATACCCATTGTCAGTTCAATTTTGTCAGACTAGTGAGTTTATACGTTAATGCATTTCTGTTCTAAAATATACCTTGCATTTATTTAGTGCCTTTCATGCAAAGATCTCAAATCACATATAGAGGTGAAGGTTGACCATTGTGTCAGTGACAGAGCTGGGAATGGAACTTGGAACTCCTGACTTCAGTCTTGTGCGCTAACCACAAGAGTGTGCTCTCTCTGGTATTTCCTGATGCCTCACTTGGATTTTAATTCTTACCTCATACTTCTGTTAGATATTAGCAAAAAAACAAACAAAAAAACCCCCAACAATTTAAACTGGAACACACTTACAATTATTATGTCTATTTTTCAACAATATTTACTACATTACTGAGGAAAAAAGGCAAAAGAATGGTCTCCTCTGTTACAGCTGTACATCCTGTTTGTGAGAAGTCTTGTTGCTGTTGTTGAGTACTTCTGGAAAGTGACCACCGGTGCTGTAAAGCGCCCAAAGTCCCTGGCTAATCAAGTACTGCTACATCATTCTGGCCTTTTTACTGTAAAGGTGAAACAAAAAACCCTAAAGTGTTAGTGTGGGATATCTGTTAAATGGAAAATATTACTGTGGGAAATGGAAAAGCTTTTTTTGACAATGGTATTTTACTTTAATTACTACTTAAGCATTTAGTTAGTGATACTTAAACAGTCAGCAAATTATACTAGATTCTATAGCTTTTATGAGATTATGAAAAACTAAAGGTTAAGAGAGAAGTCCATTGGAATTCTTTATCTAATAGCCATTGTGCAGTCATAGCATCTTCTCTGAGCCAGAAAGCATAGTTATCACTGCTTCAGACTTGCAGTAGAATTTAGGAAAATTTGCCTGTGAATTTCTTTAATGTTCCTGTAGAAATTAGCCAGTTGGACCAATCCCTGCAGTCATGTAGTGTGGTAAAATGCCTATTATGCATAGAACCCCATTGACTTCAACAGGACTCTGTGATGTCAGTTTGAGAAACAGAGTCTAATAAAAGTAAATTGAATTTTAATTAATACCCAAAACAATAAATCCACCCTACTCTGCAATAAAACTTGGCTAAAGTTTTTCTATAGAAAACCATCAATTATAACATAATTCTCAGAAAAATATGTATTTTTTTTCTAGATTTTGACCTAATTAACAGAAGCAAGGTTATTAAAGCTGTGTAGCAAACGATCATGTTCAGACATGCTTCAATTCCTAAGCATCTCTGTATGCCTGATGTTCTGGATACATACAGTTGTTGCTTGTAAAAGGGACACTGTCGTATCACTTTAGGTCCAGAATTTTAAGATAAATGTTTTGTGAAATCTGAGCTTAATGGAATTTTTTTCTTGACAGCTGAACTTTCTAATGAAAGTTTAACATTTAATTATTCTTCCGCTGCGTATGTGACCCTATCATTGTGTTAGTCCATGAGAACCTGAAAGTAAATCTAAACTTGTTCATTAAAAACAAAATTGAAATTTGCATGGGGTATGTCCAAGTTTATTAAAATGCAAGAAAGTAAAAAATGGGGGAAAATAACTAGTCTTTTGGTTTTAATCTAATATGTTAGCTATATGTAAGGAGTTAAAAAAATAAAACCTAAGCTGATCGTGTCACTTTTATTACATATTAATCTCTTGACTAAATTTCTATTTTAAAAAGTACATGACATTGCTTCAGATTGCTTTTTGAAATGAAAGTGCACAATTTTCTTTTTTGAGAAAACGTCAAATTCACAATTTTTAACAAAATACATATCTTTCAGGTGGTTGGTTAAAATTTTAGTACGAATAAAGTGCCAATCCTTAGTGTGGTGCTTGAAACTACAATGAGACGTAATGAAATGTTCTCCCTTTGGGGGGTAATATTACTCTTTGGAGAGGTTGGTTTGGGGATGAGAAGCACCATTTTTTGACTTGGTTAATCTAGTCCAGTGTCTCAACCTAGTCTAGTCTAGTCTCAACCTATTTGACCCACAGTGTGTTATGTTGACCGCATCCAATACTACCTTTATGGCCCTGAGGATGTCACGGGGGCCACAGCTCTGTGCTGATTGGGTCTCAGGTTGAGAACCAGAGGTCTAGTCTCAAATATTTTTCTGGGATAATGTTGCTGCTGGTGCTCCCAGTACTAGACAGCCAGCATATTTGGATCTGTAAGCAGAGGAAAAGGGAATATACTTGATCTCCAGCAGTTACTTTTGGCCATCTCTTTGGAGCTGCATGAATGGACTTTAGAGGATTTCATATCCAGCCCATCTCAGCCAGAAGGAAGGTTATAACACAGGGTCTTTGATGGAGGGGATCATCAAGCACCTTTTCAAACAGCAGTTTGTGGCTGTTTCTTGAGCCCTGTATTGGAAATCTGTGACAGTGTTTAAGCTTGGTATCAGAATGCCTTAACACTCATTAAACATGTTTTGACTCATCAGAGATGAGTGGTCAGATGGAGAACGTGCAGCTTGTCATGTAAACTCCCTCCTAGGCCTTCTTTTGATTGGAGGAGTATTTAATTATGTTTTAACTTGTTTCCTCCGGTGTGCCTCTAACACAACTTTAATTTAACTAGCAAATTCCACAATTTAGCTCTATTAAGACTGTTTTTCGTAGCCTAGGCTTTAGCACAACTGAGTCCCAATCATGCCAGTGCAGCGATAGGTTATAGCAGTCAATTCTAATTAGTCCTCCACTGCAATCCCAGGCTTCCTCTTTGGTCATCTACCAAAACTCCTCCACCAGGCTAACCTTACAAGAAGTGGCCTTCCTTATTTATGTTTACTGTCAGACTCCAATATCTCTGCCTTCATTTCTTTCCTATTGTTTGCTACTGAACTCTGTTGTACAACGTCAGCAGGTAAGAGGGGCTGAGGGTGAAAAGAAATTCCTCATATACCTCACTCATTACAGATCCCACCATAGTAGCTTCTCTGAACCCAAAGTTGTTACCAACTGCTGACGTGTAGCTATCTGAGCTAGCCAATTCCCTAATTGCAATTGCAGCATGCCTTTCCACAGGTATTAGTGACTTCATAATGGAAGGTGGTTGCTCTAGGGTAGGTCAACTGTCCTGGCATATTTCTTGAAATGTGGTCTTCCTTTTCTGAAATTCTGCAGTCACTGCTGATCACCCCAGGTCTGAAATACAGAGTAGTCCCACCATTCCATGCTGGTTGGTCTGACCTAAAACTGCCTTTCCACAGCTAATGCTTCATTGGCTAAAAAGCTAGACATTCAGTTGTTCAACTGGTGCATGGGCTCTAGATCATCTTGTAGAGTGCTCTGGCAGTGGCAGAAACACCATCATCTTCTCACTGCAGCTGCTCTGTAAGGCTCTTGATACCAACACACTGTGTTCGTGAATATAATCAACAGCATCTCCAGCCTGGGAGACATTCCTGGTTACTGAAGCATAATGGAGAATTTGCTATGGTATGACAGAGTTAGCAATTGATCCACTGGTTCTATGACAAAACTTCTGGAACCAGAAAAGGAATTTTTGGAATGTGACCTCCACTCCCAGAATGCACATGGGTTTGTACATGGGCAGTGTGCATTCACCCATAATTTATCACCCACAAACGTCACTCTTGCGATATGTCATACCATAAAATTGTTGAAGCTAATGTAATTGAGCCCAGCACCAGTCTGAACACGGGCTTTAAGTGAGTGCACTAAGCATGATTAATAATTGATTGCTTCATTTGAATCAAGTAACATGGGTTGCATATTGTTGAGCTTTTTTAGCCAAGGTAGACTACCTTAAGAGGTCAATCGATGGTGGTGATATTCCTTGGGACCAGAACTGAATCTCCATTTAAAATTTCACTTTCACTTAAAAAAATCACTGGCCAATAGTTTGTATGCACCGTGTTAACCTTAGTCTAGTAAATTTAAAAAATGAATTAGTTTCTACTACTACCCCTGCCAATACTTTAGGTTTTCCAATCTCCCAGTTTCTATTTTTACAATGTTTTTTTTCTCTTCCCCAGTTGATGTGAAAAGATTACACAGATTGGGGGACTTGACATTATACAAGATAAGAGTGACACGTTTTATACCCAGTGTTGTCTAATGCAAAAAGTAAACAAATGATGAATAGGACTGTTTTAGGTGTGACAGTAGTAAGTTTAAAAAAGAAATCAGAAAAGCATGTTACTTTTAAGATAATAGGTGTGTTTTATTTTTGAGAGTATTTGCTCTCTGCTGTCCCAGTTCATATATTGACGTGGGAATAAAATTTGTATTAAGCTTTGAAAACAATTTTTGTTTAAGAGGTAGCAACTTTATATTGTTAGGATAACAGGGTGAGATATTCTGAAGTGACTCAGGAGCACAAGTCCCATTAGTTGTTGCTATTGAAAATTCATCCCATTAAACAAAAATGATAGTTTTTAAAGTAGTCCAGCCTGCTAATAGTTTTGATTTTAAAATAGAGTATTTAGATTCTCTGTATGCCATAAAAAATCCTAGTTACACCAAAGAGTTGTATTGACCAAAAAACCCTGCTAGTATATAAAGATGCAAAACAGCTTCTTCAACAAACTGCTTTGTAATATCCCAGTGGCATAGGTCTTCAGACTAAATACGATGTAATAAGGTTCTGAATTTGAATATAGTCTGAGATGAGGGTCTGAAAAAAGGTATAAAATGAATTGCTTGAACCATGTAAGGCAAAAGCGACACCAAATGTAAAATTATTGCACCAAAGGACAAGAGCTTATGCAGAAAAGAAACTTAATGTGTTTCAATTTATGCCAACTGTTCTCAGACAATTAATATACTCAGATTAAAAAGTAAACTGTCTATATTCTCAAGTGATAAAGTTAATGAGTTTGAATAAGAACCCTAGGTTTGCAGTTGAATGGGCACTGGATTAAATAGGTGACCCATACGTCAGGACTCAAGTGGTTTAAATTCACTGGTTAGAACATAAACTACCTATTTATGAATATTTTCAAAATATCCTAAATGAAACCTGACTTCTTAATGTACTGGTAAAATGTTTTATATTGTTACTTTGCATGTTTAGTACAGTCTGCAGTTGGAATTATGTTCTTGTATTTTAGTAGTTTAAAGCATGTGGTTTCAGTGCTGATATGATGCACATAGCTCCTCAATCCAATTGAGGTCCTTACACTGAGATCCTGTAGTTAAAACTAGTTATAAGAACAGAGACAGGATGAATTACAATATATGTAGGCTAAATGTAGTACTTAGTATATAGAATCTTCCCTGCAAAAATAGGGTTAACTATCAGTTACAAGAAAGCGGTTAACTAAGTTAACAATAATTATTTTCACTATTTGAATTAAAAAATGTTAAACTAAATATTTAGATAAGATTGTAAGATGGTTAGAGACTTCGCCTGCCCATCTCAAAATATTACAAAGTGAGAGCCCCAGTTTTCCCACATACCTAGCATAAACAGTGGAGCATACATGTGAACCCACAAACTCCATTTCCAGCTAATTATAACCAACTTAGTTTCATAGCGTACAGTAGATGTGCATAGGTCTTTAAATATGTGGGAAAACAAGGGGCCTGCCTCAAGGACCTAATAATTCATAGACCTGTGAATCTATAAATTGGATACATCCCAGTTATTAAAGTTCTGATGTGAGGGGTAACAGACAGTACTAGAGAGGAGATTGGGATTGGAAGGCCAGCTGAAAGAAGTGTGGTTTGTTTGGGAAGAAGAAAAGGAGATTGCTTGACATATGGGAGGTTGTTCCAAGCACAGGAGGCACTGTGGGGAAAAAGGCATGAAATTGTAAGTGGGGAAAAAACAAAGGGAATATTAAAGAATGGAATTTGTTTGGTTCAAGGGTGAAGTGTAGAGAGAGGGGTAGAGTCATGAAGTTATATGGTGAGGATTTGGAGCTTAAACCGGATATGTGAAGGGGATGCCTGTTAGGGGATTTTAAAGAAATAGCATGAGGAAGGGGAATGACTGTTATTACTTCCAATCAAGACTGTTTAGTTCAGAACTTTTAAGACTGCAGTTAACTTAAGGGACGGGGGAAACAGACCTGCCATTCTTGTTTTCTCTATTTGTTTATGAGCATTTTTTTTTCTGGCATCAGTGGATGTTATCTGAATTCACCATGTTCACATTCTTTCTGCATGTAAATGATAAACCTTAAGCGAGGTTTTAGTTTCACTGCTTTTAATGAGCGCCATCTGGCTGGCCCAACAGGTTCCTGGGTGGAGTTACAGATGAACGGCAATGGCAATAGCAATGATAATGCCAGTGGGAAAAATGGGGGCCTGGAACATGTCCCTTCGTCATCCTCTATCCACAATGGAGACATGGAAAAAATCCTTCTGGATGCCCAGCACGAATCAGGACAGAGTAGTTCAAGGGGTAGTTCGCACTGTGACAGGTAAGGAAGCACAGCTGTATCAAGTCTCTTGAACCACTTACTTTTCCCATATGTTATGTTATGCAATTTCCATTCTTGATCCTTTATCGAGGGCAAATGACATTTTATCAGCTGTATACGTCTTCATCCATGAGCCAGCCAACGTGCCATTTGGAATACTTGCTGAATCCTGCTAGCTTTAAACAGTATAGAACTTGGTTTGTTTGAAAAGCAAGTAATTGTTGTTAAACTTAAAAAATAAATAAATGCAGGAGTAGAACAAATTGCATCAATATCAGTGTGAAATCTCATATTAGCATTGTTCATGTACTGTGTAAAAAAATAATTAACAATGTGATTACTGATGCATGATCATTTAAGAGAAGGTAAGAACAAGGGATCCTATGACTGAAGATAGTATTCACTATGATGAAAATGTAATAAATTGGCTTTATCAATTTTTCAAAGTAACTTACTCAGTTACAGCTGTGTACTATGTGTCCAGGCAAGAATAAATGCAAGACAGCGATAGAATAGACAACAGATTCATAATTCCCACCTCTCTTTCTCCCACAGAGGAAGTAGTTGGGAGGAAAAAAGTGTCTTCACTCGAAAAAGCCCTCTACTTTTTGCCCTTAAAGGTCAAATGTATTTATTTATATCAAGTAAAATAATCTTGCTTATCATGTCAAAACAAGTGATGCCCTTAAGGTTTCACTGTAGTTCTCCCTCAGAATTGTTAGAGAGTTAAGATGGTGTTGGAGCTGTCTTGGGAGCCTCTTTTTCTTATATTGCTGGACAAATGCTCTCTTCTTGCCATGTCAAGTATGTAATATTTATATCGAGCTAGATCAGATGTACAACCTACAATGAGTCTGGATAGAACTTGAAATTAACTCAATGATAATTTCAAATAAAATTACCAAGTGCAATGGACAAGAAGAGTAAAAAGATTTTTTTTAAAAGCTACTACCTCAGAAAAAAGCAGTTTGCTATACCTTTATTTCTAAGAAATTGTAAGCTGCCAGTAACTAGCATAGTATGTTGTCACTTTCTAGTTCAACTAGAAACATTTGCTGGATAGTGTCTGTAATGCTCATTTTGATTCTTATCAAGGTAAGGACTTTCTCTCCACCCACATCTTTAATTGCCCCAGTATTTTTAATTTAAATATTGTCAGATAAAAATGTCATATGAAGACAAATCCCTTTTTCTTTTTTCTCAATAGCAAATGCTTGGAAAACCAAAGTTCCAATTTTTAGTGAGCATATCAGCTCATGATTATGGACAATAGTTGGATATTTATAGAAACCTGAGGTCTAAAACATTTGTAGAAAGGAGTGATAACGGCTGTAAACCATCTATTGAGTAGTTTAAAAGAGGTCCTGTTCCCAGTGTAACTTTTTTCATTCACTATCCATCTTTTTAATGAGAGCTAAAATCAGATTAAAGAGGGGTGTCTAGAATTTTGATGCAATGAAATGACATCTCTACATTGCATTGTACTTTTACTCTGTCCCTGATTTTAAATTCTCTAGCGTTTATTCCCATCTGGGTGTGAATGTTACTAAAGCAGGGGTGAGCAAACTGTGGCCCGCAGGCCAAATCCAGCCTGCCAGCCGTTTTAATCAGGCCCTTGAGCTCCTGCTGGGGAGCGGGGTCTGGGGCTTGCCCCGCTCCAGCCGGGCAGTAGGGTCGGGGCCGCTCCACTTTGCTCCCGGAAGCAGCGGCATGACCCCCCTCCAGCTCTTATGCGTAGGGGCAGCCAGGGGGCTCCGCTCTGCATGCTGCCCCCACCCCAAGTGCCGCCCCCGCGGCTCCCATTGGCTGGGAACCGTGGCCAATGGGAGCTGCAGGGACAGTGCCTGTGGACAGGGTAGCGTGCAGAGCTGCCTGGCCGCGCCTCCACATAGGAGCCAGAGAAGAGACATGTCGCTGCTTCCAGGAGCGCTTGAGGTGAGCGCTGCCTGGAGCCTGCACTTCTGAGCCTCCCCCTGCACTCCAACCCCCTGCCCCAGCCCTGATCCCCCTCCTGCCCTCCGAACCCCTCGGTCCCAGCTCGGAGCTCCCTCCTGCACCCCAGACCCTCATCCCCAGCCCAGAGCCTGCACCCCCAGCCGGAGCCTACACCCTTTCCTGCACCCCAACACTCTGCCCCAGCCCTGATACTCCTCCCACATCCTATGCCCCCAGCCCGGAGCCCCCTCCTGCACCCTGAATTCCTCATTTCTGGCCCCACCCTGAGCCCTCACTCCCCTTCTGCACCCCAACCCCAATTTTGTGAGTATTCATGGCCGGCCAGCCATACAATTTCTATTCCCAGATGTGGCCCTCGACCAAAAAGTTTGCCCACCCCTGTACTAAAGGGTTTCTCTTTAGTAGTGTATACTCAGGTTTTAATATTGAAAATAAAAGTATTTATTCCTTTGGGTTAATTTGCTAACTATTAAAAGATATTTTGGTGTGTAACATGTAATGCCTGCTGGAGGAATTCCTTAGTGTACAGTGGAACAACACTAAGGAATTCCTCCCACAGATACAGTCCTTTAAGCAACCACTTTTAAAATACTTACAAAGTTTCAGGTACAGTTTTATTCAAACTCCATTTAGGGATCCACCTTCTAGGTAACCTGATTTTGCTAGTGACTGCTTAAGGTTAGTTTTACTGGATATCAGAAAGATGGCAGTGACGTAGTAACAATAGCAATGTATTGCCTCACAGGGGATGAGAGTTCAGGACTCCATCTTGGTCTTTTGCTTGGGCTGGAGTTAGTGGAGTCACTGTGCTGATTCTTGATGGTAGAGGAGGTCCTTCCCATCTCTTTATGATTAACTGAAGGGTAGTTGGGGGTGGGGAGGGTATTAAAACAGCAACAAACTGGGAATATGGGAAATCTTTGGGACTTGGAGGATTTTTCCTTGGGGGGCATAATGATAAAGAATCCTTGTTTCTCATCTGAATTGTCTGCGTACCTTATATGTAGTAATAATGGAACTATGGTGCAATTAAACTGATGTTTCAGTAATTTAATAACCCAAAAGTGACAGTAATGCCATCATTCTTTCCTTTAGCCCTTCCCCTCAAGAAGATGGACAGATAATGTTTGATGTGGAAATGCACACGAGTAAGGACAATAGTTCTCAGGTATTTTCTCCAGTAAACTCTAAAGTACACAACACATTGTCTAGGAGAACAGTGTTTAAGACACAATATTGTCTATTGTAAATAAAAAATAATTAGTGAAGCATGCTAGAGGGCTGAAGCCAAATATTTAATATTATAAATTCTGTATATAAATATACAGCTTTAAACTGTTAATTTCCAGCAATTCATTATTAATATAGTATGGAAACAGCTGAGTGTATAGTACCTATACTGAATTAAAGGCCAAGAATATTAAACTCCAGTTTTTGAAAGCCTGTTTATTCAAAATCTGGAAATGTCCTTTAGCCTTTTGGAATAACCGTGTTTACTTATATTATACCATGTTCTTTGTATCTTTTAAAATTAAGGCAACAGTTTGACTTGAACTCTGTGAACAAAATTATCCATTCTTGCTTACTTCTGTGTAAATAAGCTTTAATGATTCATTGAGTCTTTGTATAGTTAAGGTTATGATGGTAAGTATATTATAAACTTGTACTTTAGGCGATTATAATATGTCTATTAAAAACTTTGCTCTGGGAGGTGGTGTTATAAAAAAAATTGTTTTTATATTTTACTAAGCAGAGAGAGAGAGTTATTTGTATGTTTAAATTCCAGTAGTGGGGAGGAAAAAAAAGGCTAGTTTGAAACACATGCTTTGGATTTATACAACTTGGACTTTATAAAAATTCAATTTTTAAATCTTAGAGTGGGAGAGAATATCCGGCACCAATCCTGAACTTGAAATAATGTTATTGAGTATATGTAGTAGCAAGTTATCAGAGATGTTGCCAGGATTTCTTTTACACATTTAGTTATGTAGGTATGTGATAGAACTATTTGTTTTACAAATATTTAAATTGCTACCTAAGAATTCAGGATAATCATTCCATGGTTAGTGAGCTCACATAATTCTCAGTCATCTCAACACGAAATGAATCTAATGCTGAACTCTTAGTTTGGTCATTTTATGAAATTTGCTGTTTTCAGCAGTACAAGTTGAGAGCAACAGTGGAAAAATGAACTGTGCATTTAATTTTTGTCAGAGAGGATGGCCAAACAATAGGATCGTCACCTTTCTGTAGCCCTACTGAGAACCGTACCACTCTGAGTGAGGTCGTTTATTTTGTCATTCAGGGTTGCCATCTCCCTATTACAATTCAGCATGGCTCCCTTTTTCCATTGTTTTGGTGCCTCTTTGAACTAAGCTGTACTCCAAGTGTTATAATGTAACCTTGCTAAAGGCTGAATTTGGTCTCAGGATCCCATTGAATTCAGCAGGGAGAGGACAGCTTGGGAATGCCAATACATACTGCTCTAGGCTTGGCAGTTCATAGCCACGGCACCTCTGGGCTTGCTGCGTCAGTTATGAAAGTAAAACAGTTTCTTGAGCCCTGGCACCTCTTCCATTACAAATTAGGCCCTGTATATGGCAATCCTTTCATGAGAAGGAGGCATTAATCTTGGGGGCAGAGACTGTCATTTACCATATGCTTGTACAGTTCCTACCATAGTTGGGCCCAGACCTAGCTGAGGTCTACTGCAATATACATGTTCAATAACAGTAGTAAAATAACAAACAAAAGATATTTATTGTGATGTTGACAGCGGGCAAACTTCTGAAAGAAATTATTTAAAATACTTTTGTACAATTTGAGCAGAAGTACTGCCCTTTTCATTTGATTACATCTGATTTAAGAATCGCTAAAGTTTTAGGGAACGGTTTTTACTTTAAAACATTTTATGCGACACCATCTTACTCAGGCTATTGTTAAAATCATCCTCTCAATTGTTCTTCATTCTAATTTGTAATATATATATTTAACTATCATTACAATGAAGCTTGCTTAAGTCCGTGATAAAATAATACATTTATCAGAGACGCACTGACATCAGTGGACCTTGTGGGCATAGTAAAATCCCTTCCAAATAAACCCTTGATGTAAGAGTGTCTTTTCAGTCATCATCACCTTTCCCTTCCCAACCCCAACATATGTAGAAACAGCCCAATGGAATGAAAACTGCCAACATCTGCTGCTTTTCATTTTGTCACTGCAGTTGATGCTCTTAAAATTAATACCACGAGGAATAGCTGAGTAAATGTTGTTACAGGGCATGTCCCATGTATATTTTCAGTCTGAAGAGGAAGCAGTAGAAGGAGAGAAAGAAGTGGAAATTTTGAAGAAAAGTGCTGACTGGGTTTCAGACTGGTCGAGTAGGCCTGAAAACATTCCTCCCAAGTGAGTTGAACTCTTTACTAATAAACACTCCTTCTGTAAGAAGGAAAGAAGAATCATGCTGCACACATATATGGAATTATTCTGGCTACCAAAATGGGATCATCACCGAAAAAATATTTTGAAGACTTGGGTTTTCCTTGGAGGATAGATAGCATAAAAACTGCAAAAAATGTAATAGCGTAACAGAGTTTCTTTTACTGAAAGCAACCCAACAATAAGCTTAATATGAAGTTACTTTTTCCAGTAACACCAGTGTCTTTACTTGTTAAAGCAGGGTACTTGGAGCTTGCATTGGTGGGGTTTAGTAACAGCTCACTGACTGGTCTGGTATTGGGCAAGTCACCTAAACTCTCTGCTTCTTGGTTTCTGCATTTGTAAAATAAATATAATGCTTACTGACCCCATAGGGACACTAGACACTATTAGGCTTTAAAACCCTTGAATAGAAAGCACTAGATGAGTGCAAAGTGTCCGTTAAACTGGAGGATGCTATCCATGTCTGGGAGATTTCTGCGTCCCTGCTTGAAAGAAAAATGTGGCTATTACTAACAAGTCATGTACTGAAATTTCCTCTCCCAGACCTGCTTGTCTCTCCAGCTTGTGCTCCCATTGTCTCTGTACTTGAGTAAGTGGTCTTTCCACACTACCTCACATTTTTCTTGGGTCCCCCTGCAATCTGGCTTTTGCCCTGTCTATTCCACCTTGAAAAAAATCTGTGCAGTTCTGCAATATTCCTGTCTATTTTTTCCCTTCAGGGAATTTCACTTCAGACATCCTAAACGTGCAGTATCTTTAAGTATGAGAAAGAGTGGAGCTATGAAGAAAGGTGGCATTTTCTCTGCGGAGTTTCTTAAGGTTTTCATTCCATCTCTGTTTATATCTCATGTTTTGGCTTTGGGACTAGGGTAAGTACAAAGACTAATTTTAAACTTTGCATCTTTATTGCTTGTATACTTACTGTAGTACTATGGGAGTTATCAATCTGAGGAAGAGCATAATAAGAATGACCAGATTATTTTGACCTTGTGCTGATAGGTCAAGTATATTTGAGATATAGGGAAAACTACCTTTGCAGTGACGCAAATCTATTTACTTGATTGTAGGGAAAGTTTGAGATTGAATGGTCATACATTCAGAATGCACAGATTATCATGAAATCAGTGACCTTAGTTGACTCTGAGACCCTACTGCAAATAACCTTTGCGGTGTCCTGTGGCATGACCCACTTGTTCATTTGCTCATTCTATTCAAATTCCTTAGAGTATAGTGTAATAAAAGAAAAATAAGACACTAAACATAAATATTATAGTGATTTTTCCTCTTTTGCTCCAAGAAAAGTCTGTGTAACGTCATTAGATGATGCTCCAGACCCATGTGTAAGCTCCCACTAATTCTGAGAGGCTGGCACTACTGCAGTTGCATGATGGTACTGAAACTAAGGGTTTGAAACTTGAAACAGAAATATACACAACATTGTGTACCTATCTTGCAAAATTAGCTACTGAATTTTCAAATAGCCCAGCAGTGCTGTTCGCATTTCTGTAATTAGAAGTGATCACTGAGTGTGCTGAAGGTCTTTCATTTGCAAATATGTATCTCATGCCCTCTTGTGGTGGGGCCAGAGAAATGTATTTGTAAAATACCATATTTCAGTTTTTATTTAACTTCTAATTCAATTATTTCTTGCACAAAGTTTGTCTTTCACTCTGATTTTAACATATTCTTGTAAATTATTTTTTTCCTTAGTCCTAGTTATTGGCTAAACTAGCTGGATAGAAAATGTGAAAAAATATTTGTCTGGTAGCAAAAATTTATACTTCTGAAATAAATTAGGTATGTTGCCTAGGTTTATTTGGTAGAGATCTGCCTTTTTGTAAGCCCATAACACTCAATGTTTTAAAGCCTGTGTTAATATTTATTTCTTTAAGTGTAGTATAAAGAATTTTGTATACATATTATTTTAGCTGGGATTTTCAAAGGAGCCTTAGGGAGCTAGACAGCCACCCCCTATTGAATTTCAATGGGAGATAAGTACCTATATCCCTTGGGCTCTATTGGAAATCTCAGCCCTTATAGTTAGGTGTTTAGATGCAGTCACTCGAAGAGAAGGGGGTGTTATGGAAGAACATCACAAAATGGAAACTATTGACAAGGGCAAACTAGAACAATTGAGTGAGCAAGGACTGTTGTGAAGGGAACTATTTCCATGAAATACAATGTTTTATGTTTTTATTTCAGCATCTACATTGGAAAACGACTGACCACACCTTCAGCCAGCACTTATTGAGAGAAGCAGAGGGCAAAACTTGGAAATCCACATGACCTGTGAAGATGTTATTGTCACATTAGTACATTTGAACTTGAGACCATTTTAAGCATGACCCAGCCCCGCCCTTTCTTTACATATCCAGGTTCCAGTAACTCTTGGAATTCAGTATTGTATTGGAACTCTGTTGAGGTGTTTGACTACCCACCTTCTCTCCCCCCACCCTTTTGGCCTGCAAAACACGCCAGTTGCCTAACAGACTTTACAATTGTCTATACATTGCAAGGGCTTCTTTCAGTACAAAATTCCACCAGCAAATTATAATTTTATCAGTGATGCTGTTGCCTCCTCTAGTACAACCTGACTTAAATCTGCAAATGCTCATGGAATAAATGTTGACTGTATTATAACAATTGCCAGTCTCTTTAAAAGAAACTGAAGGTTGGTTAGAGTAAAAGTGAGTCTTTGTTTTTAGAAAACTGTTGGCTGTAAATCAAACTAAAAAATCATTGGCAATAAAGAATAAATAAATTTTAAAACCAGCTTTTTGGGTAATTTACTAACACCCTATTTTGGCCATGACTTTTAGTTTGCAGAAGGCAAAGACTGCACAAAACATAAAGCATGATGATAACTTAGTGATCAGCATATGTTAATACTAGATAATTGTCATAATCTTGTCTTTCCTATGAAGTAGGCTCCTTGTTTCTGGTAGGAAAATCTAACGCCTAGAAAATGTTAGAGGAATTGCGTTGTTTGCATGTGAAGAAGCTTTTATTTTCCTTTAGCTTTTTCCTTACTGGAAAATTGTAAGTGTAAAGTTTTCCTTTATAAAAGCAGTTTGAATGCAAATATTTTTGGTGTATTTAGACGAGGGGTTTCCAAACTTGGTTCGTGGCTTGTGCGGGGTAAGCCCCTGGCAGGATGGGAGACGCTTTGTTTACCTGAGCTTACTGGGAGCTGCGAGCGGCCATACCTGCGGATGCTCAGGTAAACAAAGCGTCTCCCACCCCGCCAGAGGCTTACCCTGAACACGCCACGAACCAAGTTTGGAAACCCCTGATTTAGACTCTCTGTAAAAAGGGGAGTCTCCTGAAACCACCTACAATGATAAAGATATGGTGGTTTCAGTAGGTACTCCAAGCATTTGATCTGCTGTTGGGAACAGTCTTGCAGTTGTGTAAAGAAGCACAAGTGATAAATATCTGAAATGATGTCTCCTTTAGTGAAGTTTTCAATATTCCCATTTCTCATTGTTTACTGTACAGTCTCCCTTGGGGATAATGAAGATCCTAAGGTCACTAGTGACGTCTCATGTAGCTAGGTAGAATTCTCACTAATGTTGTTGAACTTTTATCTTTGGGAACACTCAGTCTTGTCCTCCTTCAGTGACACTTTTTTCAAAATATGAAGCTTTAGTACCAAATTGTTACAAAGCATCAGGACATAGCCTTGTCCTTAAGTAGATTTTATTGGATTTCAAAACATGTAGCATGACTCTGAAGGATAGAATACTCTGTGTTTTTTTTATATATATATATATATATATATATATATATATATATATATATATGTATAATATGATATAGATTTTAATACTAAATATATAGGGAACCAGTGTTAATTTTAAAACTAGCAAAATCTCATTTAAATAGAAAATGCATTAGGCTGACTTGTAGAAAATGTTAAGAAAATCTGGTCAGCAAGTTTGGAAGAGAAAACTACCTTAAATTTTCTGCTTGCATCAGATAAAGTTGATGATTTGGTATATCAGCGATAGTTCAAAACAGTTCAAGCATGGAGGCTAATTCCTAGTTGAGGTTTGCTTTAAAAAAGGCACCTCAGGAAGCAAAGAGGTTAAGTATGAAATCCATTTCTAAAATGTGTTCATTTTATTCTCCACTTCTCACAGCCTTTAGGAGAAGGTTAGTAGGTTTTAAGACAAGTCCAGTGTGAAAGGGTAGTTGAAACATTGTGTTTAGACATCTGTTTTTTCTTTTAATCTCAAATATTAGTAGCTCTTGAATTATCTACAACTGCGTATTTATTTCAAGTGTGGATATTGGGTTTCATCCAGACATGTGGAAGAAAAAAATGGCAAGAGTGTTTTTAGGCAGTATGAACCGCCTTCTTTTAGAGACCTAAATAAAATGGGAAGGGAGAAAGGCTGGTATACTTTATTAGTACTAATTATAGCACCTTCTTTTGTATGAAAATTGGAATAGTGGAAAAATAGATTTATATTAAGTAGGGAATATCTTTGTTTTAAAAAAACACCATCCATATTAAATTGATTAATCTGCAGAATACTTGATAAATTAATATGTTACAAGCTTGTGACTAGAGGATAAACACAGCTATGTGCTAATATTTCAAGCAGCTGTGAGATTAAAAAAAATTTAATGGAAAATATTACTGAAAAATGGATACCTGATCACTGTAGCACTTGTTATCATACAATGATACAATGCAGTATTTATTGATACCCTAATATAAGCTCGGGATGGAAGTCTACAATTTTTAGTTTTACAATGAACCGAAACAGATCGTTGTATAATCTGAAAAGGGGTTTCAGCTATTGATAGTTGAAGTTTTGTTAAGATAAATATTGTTTAAAAGCTTTATACCTGTTTACAGTTTTGAAAAAAAATGCAGGCTTCATTTTTCTTATGTTCAGTGAAAACTGGCTTAAAATATTTGTAAATAGGATCAAGCAAAAATACATAAACTCGCACATTAAAAAAATGTGACAGGCTAACTTAACTGTAGCAAGTACATATTTACTTACTCTGTTTTGAAAAGTGAAAACTGAAGACTCTGTTAGAAATTCAGATTTTTTAATTAACCCACTTGTTGAAATTATTGAAGTTAACTGAGCCAAAGTGATTATGCATCCTTCATATATTTAGTTAGCACTTTGTAACATGATATACAGTTTACAGTACATGTATAAGTTGTAGCTATAAACATTTTGTGCCATTAAAGCTCTCACAAAACTGTGTGTCTGTTAGATCACTTTGTACCAAATCCACCCCCACCCCCAGGGAAGACGTTGGATAACTTTATCCTGCTGCTTGTTTATGAAGTAATAACTGTATCCTGAGTTAAATGAACCAAGAGGTTGACTTTATTAGAGTGGGATCATCAAGTTCTTGTGCTGAAAAGTAATTAAAATATTGCCTTCGTCAACCATGTTCACTACTTCCATCCTCTCCCAGCACCTTGATCTCCTTATAGATCAGGAAGACTGGTACCAAAAATAAGAACCATGTATTGTTCTTTAAGATCCATTGTCTCCTGGGCCAGTTATAGTTCTAAGACTCCTTCCAATTCAGTTATAAGTGCAATTTGAAGAGTTGAGGCCGTTCCTTGTTCTAAGTCGATAGAGCTATGACAGTTTACACCAGCTGGGCATCTGCCCTTACAGTATTAGCACAAGATTATTACTTATCTTAAGGATGTCAAGGTATTGGAGAGGGCTAAAAAGGGTGTGGAGTTTACCTATGTAAATTTTAAAACTAGCAGTTTTTGTGGCCCATTTTATTTCCTTCCTGATTTTTTTTCTTGTTTAATGTAAAATAAATAAAAAAAAGTCTAAGAAATTAATACAATTTTCAAAAGCACCTAAATTACTTAGAAGCCCAAAAGACTCATTTTCAAAAGTACTTCTGAACTTAGAGTTTGACTTTCAATTACACTTACCGGTAAGTTCCAAAGTGCCCAAGTCCCTTTTGAAAATGGCGCTTGGGCTTCTGAGTTATTTAGGCACTTTTAAAAACCATATGCAACATCTTGAAAATTCTTCTTTGAGTAGCTTATCAGAGCAGAGGGATTGTAGCCAGTTAAGGTACAGTTACATATTTACTATGCCATTATTGAGAAAAATAAACAGTGTTTATCTATCTCAGATCCTCTTCGCCAGTCATAGTGCAGGGTCCGCATAAGTAAGAAAATGTAATAACATTTTATAGACCAGGAATGCTCTTCCTCTAACAATGTTGTGCTTTAAATGGCAATCATAACTGAGTTGCAGAGGGCTATTAGTCTCCCAGTTCAGCTGGGCTACTAAGACTCTTTCCAATTCAGTGGTGTTCTTACTCTCTCTACAAGAGCTGTCGGGTTCATGTAAAAGGGTCGGTGTGTGTTAATGATGCTGACTGCAGAAAAGTTTTAATCAGACATTTCATTAGAACAGCTTGATGATTCTGTTTTGTATATAGCTATATGCATACAGTGCACACACTTTGTGTCATGTCAAGTTTGGAAAAGAAAACACAAAAATAAGCTAAATCTTGAGTAAATTTCCCTTCTACGAAAGTTCCAAGTGGATTGAAATTGCCAGTAAAATTCTTTATTTATAGAGTTGTCCCATAACTGTATTCCTATGCGGTCCAACAAAGTTGGCTTATTTTAATGACAGGAGGGAGTATATACCAGCTAAAGTATTCCAGTGGTGCCTCTGATTTTATTTGATAAATTTGTTTTACTTAACAGGTTATGAACTGTGGATTTCTTTGCTGATGGAGGTGGTTTTAAAATCTCTTTCAATCTGAACAAGCAACTGGTTTGGGCAATTTCCTTAGGGATACAGAGCCTACCATCATGTCTGGTATTTTGGTTTATTTTAAACTATATGGGTAAGCCTAAAAACAAAAAAGAACCTACCATTACATTTAGAATATGTTTGAGAGGTAAAATCCTCCAATTTGAAGTTCAAACACTTTATATCTACATGATGAAATCTTTGCCCTATTGAAGTCAATGGGAGTTTTGCCTTCAATGCGGCCAGTATTTCACCCAAAGTATATTAAGCGGTGGATGATTTCAGAGGAACTACTCATGTACTTAGTACATTGTTTGCTTAAGTCCTCCGCTGAATTGGGGCCTTGAAGAGAATATAAAATGACAGTTTTGATTTACTTGCTCTGGTATTATGCTGCATGGTTCATGGTTCTTGCCACCACAACACATGCCTATATAGATGTGAGATTTAAAAGTGAACCTACACCCTTAAGATGCACTTGAAAATCACATCTTGGGTATATACAGCAGCCGTCCATAAGAAAAAGACAAAAGCTAAATTTACTTCCTGTTGATTAAATAAGTTTCTATGTCCTGTACTGCACATTGACTTGGCCAAGAGCAGCTGACTCAGCCAACCTCTCCTTGCAGCACTAAGGTGTGATTACTCTTGATGTTCAGGAGGGAGGGAGGGAGATTCTCCATTAAGCAAAGTAAACTTAACTGTTAACTCTGAAGTGCAATCAGAAGAGTGAGCAGTGTGGAAATTTGCATTTTCCATTTTAAACAACACTTTTTTTATATCCACCAGTAGCATGAGCAAAAAAGTTTGTTTCTGCAGATTGTGGGATTTCTGGTGACAAATCTCAAATTGCAATGCAGATCAATTTTGCATGCACCTGCTATAAAACAAGTAGATTAATAGATTAAGGCCAGAAGGAGCCATTACAATAATCTCTGACCTCTTGCATAACACAGACCATAGAATTTCAACAAGTAATTTCTTCAAATCCATAACTTCTGGTTAAGATAGAGCATATCTTTTAGAAAGACACCTAGTCTTGACATGAAGACTTTAGCTGATGGAGAATCCACCATGGCCGTAGTAAGTTGTTCCAATGCTAGTTTACCCCCCACTGCTAAAAAATTGTACTTTTATTTTGAGTGTAGCTTTTGTCAGACTTCTGCTTCCAGCCACTGAATCTTGTTACGCTTTTGTCTGCTAGATTGAAGAGGCCTCTACTATAGGAATATTTTTCCCATACGGTACTGCTAGACTGTGACCCAATAAACTATATAGATCTTTAGTATAAAACAAGTATTTCAAATGTTACTGCTTTTGGAGGAAGGTCAGACGGCCAGCTACATGGCAGGACTTCATGTTATCGATCTACTCATAATACAACAACTTATCAGTACCCAGGATG